TGGCTATGGAAAGGGAAAGGTCCTTTATTGTTATGAAAAACTCCCCAAGATACATTCAGTGAGAAGAAGTTTCAAAAACATCTAAGTGTTCACAATTTTGAAGGGAAAGTGATGGGAATTGTAGGGGATGGATTAAAATGAGATTTTTATCACATCCTTATATTTGTTTTCAGAACCATTTAAGTTATAACTTGTTGAAAATTAAAGTAGAAACTTCCACATAATTGCCAACTGTGGCCTTCCATTTATAAGGTGGTTTGTAGCACTTCATGCAAGCATCAATTCATCTCAATAGCTCAATCTCTAAAAAGTCAATGTTTAAAAAGTGTACAACTTGGAAATTGACCTTTATTCACAAATTCATTACTCTCTAATCCTAGATTTTCAGTGGAGCTTAATCATTTGCTCATTAATTCCACAAGCTATCTTTGTTTATGTAGATGTCATGGCTTGTGCCTAGATGTTCCCCCATATCCTCATGAAGTCATAGTTGGGGATTTTCAGAGGTGGATGAATCTAGTGTGTGTCACTCTGGAATTGATTCATAGTGCACTGCTAAGATTAAGGGTGCTAGGATAACAGGTGTGAATGCTACCTGCCCCGAGGGTGGGTAATCTGGATACAACATGACGGACAGAAACAGGCTTGTCTTGGGTCACTCTCTTGCTTGCTTTTGCTGTCTTCTGCCTGCCATGAACTGTTTCCCCTCTGTGATGCCCCTCTGCCATCCACCCTGCCATGGAGCCAGCCATTTATGGAATGAAATCTCTATAAACAATAACCTTGAATAAACCTTTCCTCCTTTAATTTTTGGGTGTTGAGTATTTTGTCCAGCAACGAGAAAAGTAACTAAGATAGGAGGTAAATATCAGAAATTAAGATTCCACTTCTGCAGTGAATATTTTATTGTTTCAGAGATTTCACGGAGAGGGAAGTAATGGTGTCAGGTGTTTAATCTGTTTTTCAGAACATGAAAACATCTCCATTTGTCAGTGGTTTTAAAGCAACACATCTCTCCTGTTCTTCTCTTGGTAATCTCTGATATGACATCGGTGTCTGGTTGGGCTAAAAATCACTACAGCTGAAACCTAAGCACCTGGAAAGGACAGTAATACAGGTTGTTTGGGACACTGAAAGATGGAAGTCATGTTGAAAGGACTTACACACAAGCAAGCTGAAGAATTTGGAAAACCAGAACTAAAGACTGAGGGGTGGTAACACCAGCACTTGCGTGAGGGTGGGAGAGGAATAGGAGCGTAGGTAGGATATAACAGTTTCAACTGAAGGAAGAACCACGGAGGCTGTTTCTTCTTCCCCTCTTCTCAGTTCCCGCGCTGCCCCCTTTTTGGTGATGGCTCACTGAAGTGTTTGTCAAAGTGCCCGGGGTGAAGTCAGTGAACAAAAGAACATAAGGACACTGGAAGACCTGGAGGAGACAGGCCAGGCTGGCTGGTGTCAGGAAAGCTGCCCGGGCATCAGGCTCTTTCCGGGAACTCCTGGGGAGGAAGAGCTAAGCCTCTGGGTTCCTGTCACTGCTGGCCAGGCAGTCCGCTCTTCCTCCTCAGAGGCTTGACTGGTGGGTCAGTGGACAGCCCGTTGCCCTGCCTGCCTTCTCCCGTTTTCTCTCACAGCTATTTCCTACCCATCCTGGGTATACCCTCAAAGGGCACCAGACCAGCCTGGTTCCTGCCGTAATCCCGTCTGTGCCCGCCTCATCTGGCTGCCTGGAAATAAAACCAATTATTGCGAATTTGAGCAAAGGATTCAATTCATAGTTATCAAAACCATGGTGGGCCCCACACTCAGCTGTGCCCTGCAGGCTTCAGGTTTCCCTAGAGCGGGGAAGCCTTGAGATGACAGTGGGCCCTGGCTCGCTCGGCCCTCCTCCTGGCTCGCTCTGCCTCGCACTGCAGCACCCAACAGAGAGGAACACGGGCCCAACACAGCGGTGTCTTCAGTTTGGTTTGCTTCTGCAGCAGACTGGGGGGCACACTGGGAGCCAGGAACAAGGTAGCACAGCCAAATGTTGGAGTCTCCAGAGCCGCATACTGGGGTGGGGGAGCTCATGTGAGACATTTGCGCTCACCTCCCCACCACCCACCACTGTTGTAGTCTTTTATCAGGAGAGAAGAATGGGGAGTGGAAATAACATTAGAGGAGAGAACCGAGGGTGTAAACCATCATCACTTCCCTACTGAAGGGATAGGGACTATACATACCACACTATAGATCCCTAGGAATACAGACTAATACCACCATTGCATAATCCTAAGATAGTCAGTCTGTAAGAGGGGCCCAAATGAGAAACCGGAAGTCCACCTACATGGAGCAGTAGGTTGCGTGGCAGGTGAGCCTAGCCGAAGAGTCCTGGAAGAGAGCGCACAGCCCCGGTGGCCTGATGCCCTGCAGGAAAGCAGAGGAGGAGGAGGCCTCCATGAAGAACATGCTAAGGACAAAGACAGTGGTCACACTTCACTCCCAGGCCTGCAAATGAGGCAGATTAGGGCATGGCAGGCTGGCTAAAAAAACCAGGATCTAATCTGTTAATTACGAAGATCCAGAACAGAGGCTAAACGTCAGACTATGACTGGTCAATCGGGGCTGGAATATATGGGCAGAACAACTTCCCACGGGCTGGATGACAGGGCGTAAAAGTCGCCACCGCAATCTTCCTGTTTTGCTACCTTCCTGTTTCTAAGTGGCCTGTCCTGCTTGACATAGCTCTTCTTGCTCCTCTCTTCACGCTTTCCTTTTTATCCTTTAAATAAAAGCTGGGTTTACCTATTTATCAGTGGTCCTGGCCAATTCTTTGGGCGGGACTAAAACCCTGAAATCACCTGAGACTATGCCATCTGGCAAGAGAACTATCCGTGTCTGTCACATAGTAAGCACATAAGACCACTGCAGAGTTGAGAAAGTGTGGTTCTTGGGATCTACAGAAGATGGGAGTACTTTAAAGCGATTAAATGTGGAAAGTGACTTTGGAAGCTACATCAAGGGAAGAGCCCTAGGAAAGGGGCCTAGATCTGGCAGAACTGGGCAGAAGGTGGGCTGTACTGCGTGTGTGTGTGTTGGTGGGATGGGAGAGTGTAAGACGGGGGGTTGTGTGAGAGAGAGAGAGCAATGAAGTGGCGACAGAGTTGCCATAGCCTGAGAGAAGAGGGTAGGAAGCATGAGGAGCTGACTCCTGCTTGGTGGGCTTAAATATGGTAGAAAAGAAACTGGGTAGGAGGCAGAGGGCTAGGCAGGGAGTGTCCTTAGGATGGACTGGAACCGGCCAGAAGCTTGGAGGGAGAATCTATCATTTCGGTGATTAAGGATGGGCGGGAGTTGGGAAGAACAAATGTCCTTGGGAAGGTGCGGCACTGCTCAGGCAAGGTAGACTATAAACCAAACCAGAACGAGGGAGAAAGATGGGAAGGAAGACTGGAGGAAGAACGCCGCCCCCTGCGAAAAAGTAGGGGGTCACAGGAAAATAACCCGAGGCCTGGAATTAAAGGAAGCTGCAGCTTCATCCAGCCTCTGTGGGTAGGCTGTCAACTGTCAGTTCAGTGCCCTCACTGGAGGAGGTAGCAGGGCTAGGGCCTACAAGACAGGTCCTTTTCCACAGCCTGAACTGCATAGAATGTTTGAAGCAGGAATGCTTTTTTGGCACCACAGTTTAACTGGTTACCTCTGTCTAGCAAACACGCTGGGTTTGAACTGTGCTTGTATCACGTTTCCCACCTGTGCCCTGGGTACTCTCTGATGGTCCTGGTACTTGCCCATGGCGTACACCTAATCAGGGCTAGGAATCCCTTGAATTGTCCCTTACTGGTCACTAATTCCACTTTGGGGTTGGAAAACCTCGGCCCTTAAGGGCACAATAAGGCTTAGTATCTACCTTTCTGCTGAAAGCTCACTCCATCTGCTTCCAGGGCAATTTCTTAGAAGGCCTGGGGGAAAGACTAGATAACTAGCTAAGGAGGACCATTTTCTTAGGGGCCAGCTTTTTAGTTTAAGGTGGACTATCCTCTGAGCTGGCCTCTTCTTTCTGTTGTTTCAGATTTCTGGATCCAACTGTCCCCACTGTTCATATTCAGAGTCCCTGCTTCAGTCAATCACTGGAGCTTGGTAGTGACCCACCAGTTTCTGAAATTGGGAGTGACTGCAGTTCTTTCACTGAGTTAAGGGTGAGGGAAGACTTTGGAACTAAGGGGGACACACTAAAGCCTACTGCACTGAAGGTGACAACAGCACTGTGAAGATCTATTGAAAGAGGGTGAGGTAGCACTGCTTGAGATGGAGTCTGAGTTCTCTAGCCAGTGGTTCTTGTATCACATACTGGAGGGCATGTTAAAAGACTGATGGTGGAGCTCTACTTCCGAGTTTCTGATTCAGTAGGTCTGCAGCGGGGCCTAAGAATTTGCTGCTGGTCATGGTCTGGCATTGCACAAGGACTGAGTACACGAGACTTTTGCCAGCTCAGGCTAAGGGATCTAAAGGAACAGATTTCACTTTCTGTTATTTCTCAGCTCTGCTCACCTCCATTCAGTGAACCAGCTGAACAGTGATGGAAGGAACCTGTCTCTAGCCTCTCTGCACCTGAATCACGTCTTATCTTGTGCTTGATGAAAACGGCGAACAGTAACTTAATCACAAGAGCGCTGCAAAGGGCTGCATTATGTCCCGAATTATCACCTCTTAACTCTCCCGACGGCATAACATTTTTTTTTTTAACAGAAGAAAAGTAGTTCTTTCCAAAATCAAAGCTACGCTTTAAAATGTAAACATATTTGCGAAAAGCAAGGGATTCTTTTTATGACCTAGAATCGAGTAGCAGCACCACAGAGGGAAAACTGTGATAGGTTCTAGAAGATGGAGTTCTTTGTTTTAAGCTTTGACCAGAGAGAACACAGGCATTTTTTACTTAAAGGAAGTAAGTGGCCATGGGGCACAAGACAGTTTAGTAGAAGACAAAAGTTCGAGGCTGATTCAAGTGTATTTACTCATCTGACAGCTGTTGCTTGTTTTACTTTATTTTATTTTTTTGTCGAAAGAATGTGGTGTCGGACCGAGGTAGAGAAGACAATGGTACACCAGAAATGACCCGAAGGACTGCCCCTTCTGCAGAAGGCCCTCGGACCCCACGATGCCTCTCCGCGGGGCGCTGTAACTGCACTTACACTTAGGAAGGTCATTTTCCATCTCCACAATTACTAAAACATAAAAATCTGGAGGTTAACATATCGTCATCAAGAGTACCTGACCACGGGTATATCACCCCCTGCATATTCTTAAAGTACGTTAAATGGGTTTGCCAGCATGTCAGCTCTTCCTTAAAAACATAACATGTAAGCAGCATCCTTCTAGTCCTTAAAGACCACACTGTATCTTCACACCCTGATGCCTCTTGGATATTAGTCCTTAAGACATTTAGCGACCTTTGTCTTGTAATCCTTGATACAAATACACAATCAATTCAGTTTACTGACTGAATCAAAAATGTCCATTTTACTCAACCATGGGTTTCTGGTTCCCATCAGATTCTCAAACAGGTATGTGATCCAGAACAGGTTCCACGAGAGAAAGCTGCATGTAGAGCTGACTTGTATTAAATATCTGTATTAAAGTGGGAGGGTAAAAGAGATGGCGTGGTCCAGCTTTAACACCAGAGCCCAGTATTTTCCTGTTTTTCTTGAGCATTTTCTAATACTGATCCTAAAATGCCCCCACCTCTCAGGACCCAGAAAGGGCCTGTCTACACAGGGCTGGCCATCTTCCTTTGCTGGAAGAAACATAAGCAAGAGAATTACATTCCAGGCAAAGAGGGAAGGCTGCTCTCAGCGACAGAGGGGAGCTAGGCCTGCTGAAGTCTTAAGAAGCCCCGTCAGCAAAGTGAACCTATTTTCAACTCCATTTGAGCCCAGGGCCCTGAGGAGCTGTGACCCACCCAGCTTCTCCTCAGCACACGGAACGGTCACCAAGCTAGGTTGTGCAGCTTGCGTCCTCTTGCCGCGCTGGCCAATTCTACCAACTATGGGTGAGGAACAAGGATCTCGGAGAAAAACCAGGATCTAAGCGTTAAAGTGAAAACAGCCCACTCTCCTGCTCTTTGCTGGTCTTCTTCTCTAACCCAAGCCACGTACACATACAAGACAATCTTGAAGTCATCCGACTGGCACTAACACCACCATCAACAGAGAGAAACGACCAACTCCTGAACACACGCTAGCATTCTTATATGAGTCTTAGCGCAGACACCTAAGAGATAAGAGCGTTTTTAGTGTGGACACTTTCCCAGGATTTAGAGGAAAACCAACCAGAAAGCTCATCTGCTGAAAATCTCAGCAGGCTTTCCCCCTAGAATTCTGTTTCTGGGAGAACGAGATCTCTGAGAATAACTTCTCCCGTGATGAGGGGATCCAAGTCGAACAGGAGCGACGACAACAACGGGCACACACTGTGGCTGCCTCGCTGACTTTGCAGCACTGAGGACGAGACCATACCCCGCTCGGCACGAACGTCACGCATACGCGCGCCTGCCTGAAGTCAGCAAGGAACAGCTCACGGCACAAAGACTTCTCTCTCTCTCTTCCCAGGTAAAACAACGTGCAGCCAGAGATTCAGATACAGACGTACACATCTACAGCGTCCTGATCTCACTGGTACTGGGAAAAGCTGTATACACAACTTCACCTACCACTGAACCACTCAGGCACCCTTCACCACTGCCATTTCTTCCCATCATGAAACAAAACAAAAGAACCCCACACAGCCCCACTACCCTCATCCCCAGAACGCAGCCCCCGGAACACCCAGCACGTACAATCTGCACTTAGCATGCTTTCTTCAAGGGTCCTGCACACATACGCACAGAGACGCAGACACGTAACACAGCCAAGAGGACGGGCTCTGTCCAAGCGGTCAGTCTTTTCTTCTGTGTAGGGCTGGATTACTCGGGGGTGTAGGTCCATCTTTCAGCACTGTAGCGTAATCTCTCAGCTGGGTATAAGGATGTGCAGAACGGGGTGGGATGGGGAATGGAAAGGTCATTCTTCATCTTTTTCAGCAGGTAGGGATGAGAGCAGATGTACATATGGACACTAAGGTATGGTGATGGACCCACACACGAATGATGACATCTGACCCCTTGGCTTTCACAGGAACATAAAGGGGCCCCCCCCCCAGTGAATGATCACTGTCTCTTTACTGTTTTCTCATTACTTTGTAACTCAGTGTTCACCAGAGTGTGCTTCAAGGAGTCACCAGTTCTGTGGGATGTAAAATAGGATGCTGAGGTCAAATAAATTTAGGACATATTTCACTAAGAGAAACTTAATAGTTTACTGCCGAAGTTTTCAGAGCCTTTAATATGATAAAATTGTCTTTCTCTCCATACACATATTTAGAGAGAATATAATTAGTTTGCAAGGTTGGTACTAAAATATTTAACAATGGGTACGGCATAGACTCCAACCAACTAGACTGACCTCAGCTGTAACTATTACTAACATCGTACCCTTGCAGTATCGGCCCACGTCACACACACAGTTCGTCAAATCTGTGCGCACACAGCACTGCTGGAGCGTGTTATCTCACAGAACTGCTGAGTAACGCTCCTGCCAGTGCTGCCACAGCATCTCTCTAGGCGAGGACCGGGTTCACTATTCTGGCCACTGAGATGCAAGGAGAGGCGCGGCTCTGGCAGTGACTGCTGGTAGCACCGGCTGATAAACTTAATCACAGCTGTAGAAGAAACGTATTTCAAAAGACAGATGTCCCTCTGTCCCAGCTGCTTCGGGGACTTTGTCCCTGGTGGGTCAACAGATGCCTGTCCAGGTGATGCTTGCGGCCAAAGCTCTTCTCACACCGAGGGCACTGGAAGGGCTTCTCCCCCGTGTGGGTGAGCCAGTGCCTCACTAGGTGGTGCCTTCGGCCGAAGCTCCTCCCACACTCCGTGCACACGTGGCACTTGGGCGCCGGCGCTGCGTGCTGCCGCCGCCTAGCCCCCGCGCTCTCTCCGGCCTCTCGGCCCTTGCAGGACTTGCCTTCCGCGTGCACCCTCTGGTGGCTGGCCAAATGCGCGCTGCATCGGAAATTCTTGCCACAGTCAGAGCACCGGCTGGGTCTGTCGCGCAGGTGGGTTTTCTGGTGCCTGACGAGGTGATGTCTTCGCCCAAAACTCTTCTCACACTTGAGGCAGCTGTAGGGCCTCTCTCCAGTGTGTGTCTGCTGATGCCTGGCAAGGTGGGAGCCCCACACAAACTGCTTCCCACACTGGGGGCAGGTATGGGGTCTTAACAGGGAGTCCATCTCTGGATTACACAGGAGGTTTGAGAAGCTATCTTCCTGAAGAAAAGGTGGGCCCAGGAGCAGCCCTCTGGAGCTCCCGGGTGTGGAATCCCAGCTTTCATCCCGCTCCGGGTTCCAGAGAACAGTATCTTCAGACACACTGGATAACATCCTGGGAGGTTCTGCTTCCAGGTCAGGGGTGTCCCCTTCCTGTTCACTTCCATCTCCTGTGGAGCACGGAGAACCCCGAAGGGCGAGTTACTTCTCTCCATTTCTTTCCAAACAGTAATAACACCTCTGCCTCTCTCTTTCTTGGTCTCTCTCTGTGTTACCACAGTATCTACCCATATTTACTAAATAAATGGACTGTGCTATTGTTATTACTTATTCACATTACCTATTTACTACTATTTACTATCGCTAACCATTACCTTCTCACTAGGCGCAGAGGAAGAGAGCAGAGGAATGGGCTTTAATCATCACTGGCTGGATGACCACCCGTCAGCACCGGCACAGGCATTTTGAAAGCATTCAAAAAGTGAGGCGGAAGTTGAATTACAACAACATTTATTGAACGCTGTGTGCTTAGTACTCACTGTTGCACCTTCTAAGGTGTTAACACATTTCATTCTCACAATAACTTACAGATGAGGAAACCAAAAAGAAGTTAACGAGTCTTCTGGGGTCTCACGGGTGTGACTCTTGAATTTAAATTCACAAAATTTGTCTCCACAGCCTGCCCTCTAAATAATTCTTCTGCTACCTGCCTTGCTTTTGCAGAAAAAAAAAAAACTCTAAACCTTTCCGCTAAAGGGACATGTAACGACGACACCCCGTGAATGGAGGCGGCAGTGGCTAAAACCCCAGCAGAGGTTTTCACCTGTATATGTGACCCGGAGGATGTCTCTCTCCTCTAAATCCTGGGCATCAGGGACCCACTGTTCTTCTCCTGCTTCTACTTGAGAAAGCATGTCCAGTTTGGGAATTGGAAATCCTGTCATGGGAAAGGAAAACAGAAGTATCTGTTAGTTCAACAGTAACTCTATTTTACCTAAAAAGCTATTTCCTAGGTTACTCCTTGGGACTCTAGATAAAAGAAGGTCATATTCGCGCCTCTTCTCCCATATTCTGCCATTTATGTTGTCCTTTCTCTTTTTCTTTTTTTTATTTTAAAGAGAAAAGAAAACAAAACAAAACAAAGATAAAAACAAAACAACACAAAACAATAAAAATGATACAAAATTTCAAAACAATATGATAGGAATTAACAGTGGTTGTTATATTACATATTGTTATCCTCAACAAAGTTGCTCAGATTACCAGGTGTAAGAATGCAAGACTGATCAAACAATTAAAGAGAATAAAAATATAAAAAACCCATTAGAAATGATACAGAGCTTCACTAATTAAGATGGCAGGAATTCCACAATGGTTGTTATATTGCATATTGTCTTCAAATTAGTTGTTCAGATTACCAGATATAAGCTTGTAAAATTGCTAAAGAAAAAAATTATCCATTAATTGTTCCTTTCAATAAACCAATAGACACCAGCACTTCAATTATCCCAGCTATCCTTGTATTGCCATATATATTTTTCTCTTCCTTCTTTTCTTTCTTTTCTTTCTTCCTTCCTTCCTTTCCTTTCTTTTTCTTTCTTTCTTCCTTCCTTCCTTTCTTTCTTAGCTTCTTTCCTTCCTTCCTTCCTTCCTTCTTGTTCCTTCCAGTTGTTCCTTCCCTTTGTTCCTTCCCAGTTGTTCCATCCCTTTGAGCAGCATCTCTCCCTTCCACAGTATCTACTGTACCTTTTGGGTTTCATTTACTCTTCCAGGTTTTTATACTAGGGAGACAACACGGTGTTTACACATGTGGGTCTCATTTATTTCACTTGAGTATGGTTTCTAGCAGCATCCAAGTCCTTTCTCTTTGGCCTGGAAAATCACTTTCCCTGTGAGTCTGTCCTCCTCCATTAACACCTCCCAGCCCAACTCTCCTTTCTGGTTATAACTTTACCTCAGTCTTCTACAACTATCCTGTCCTCTACACTCTCATTTTCCACTCGGTGGTTCCCAAATTTCCAAGGGCCCAGTTCCAGGTGTCCCCCTCCCCCGCTCTGTAAAAACTTCCCAATTCCACACCAAGAAGAGCATCAAGTTTTTGCTCCTGAATTCACCATTCACAATATTTGCTCTTATCTTCAATACTGTCTTCATAAAATGCTCCTTCGTTACTCATTCTCCTGCGATTAGTTCTAGTTTTTTTCTTTGGCAAAAGCTTAGATAGATTCCTGCCAAGAAAAGACCCCTGGACAGACACTACCTAACATCCCCAAAGCAGAGAACTCTATCCTCCCAGGGTATAATCTTTGAATAGCTAGGAAGATCATACAGTACTTACTCAGAGAAACCACTATTCCACAGTTTTCCTGCATGACGTATTCTCCATAAAAGTCTGTCTGAGAGGGGTCCAGGCTCCGCCACTCTTCCTGAGAGAAGCACAGTGATACATCTTTGATGGTTACCAGGCCCTGAAACAAAATATAGAATCACCTGTCAGCAGTTGCTCCTTAAGGAAAATGGGATCTTGGCAAAAGATAAAAGGCTGCAGCAGCACAGCAGAGAGGGCAAGAGAAGATCTAGGAAAAGAATTGCCCAGAGATCCCTGGGAGGTGACACAGTACTGATAACGGGAAAGTGAAGAGGGATAAAGGTAGATGCTCAAGGAGTGAGTGAGGGTGATGTAACCACAGGCGTTTCCCTGGTGGGATTATGAGAAGACAGAGGTGCCACAAATTCACTGGTCTCTTCTTACTTGCTTTACTCTTTTTATCGCAGAAATTCTGTACCTCTACTTGCCTTTTCCTTTCCTTTCAATACAATACGATACAAATGAGACATTCTTTCTTGCTTCACCTGTCATACCGTATCTTTATCATTTCAGGCTCACAGGTTGGAATTCGGAGCCAAGTAACTCTAGGTTTGCCCACTTCCTATCAATACAACCTTTTACAAATGCCTTAATCTCTAAATGCTCCATTGTTATTTGTAAAATAGGATGTTTGACTGTTTCCAGAATTAAATTAGTTAATATATAAAAAGCACTTGAAAAACAGCTCTCATGGTAAAGGGGGGTAGCTGCTACTACTGCTATTATTATCACTGTCTTTCAATGGCTTTTATGATGCCTTCTAAATCTAGACCTATTTTACTTCATGGGCGCTGCCCCTGTTTACACCTGTCCTTCATTTCCGTAAGTGCCCCATGACCTACCCAGTCATGTTCACCTCATAGTCTTCTAAGATTCCTCTCTCCGCCACTCTCTCGCTCTCTCTTTCTCGCATACTAGGGATTGAACCCAGGGCCTTGTGCATGCTAGGGAGGTTGTCTACCACTGAGCTAGAACCCCAGTCCAGCCATTTATTTCTTAAAGGAAGCTAATTTTTCTTAAAATCCCCCTGCCTATATCACAGCCATCTTTTAAAAAACCTTAAGCTCAAAGAATCCCTTTTTTGGTTATGCCTCCACTGAATTTTCCAAGGGTCTTGTGGGCCTCTTGAAAAAGGGGAGAATTTGTTCGTAAGACGAATGTACGTCAATGTTCATGTGAGCTAACAAATCAATGGGATGATGCCAAAGCTACAAAAAGGCAACTGTGATGAGCCCTTGGGAGAGGCCAAGGGAAGCACAGCCCACCTGTGATCCGGCTGCAAGAAGTGCAGCTGCCATCTCCCAGTCTCCGGTGCTCCCCTCCTGGGGAATGGCAGGAACCCAGGGAGCAGACTGAGCTGGTGAGGGGAGAGAGGAGCCATTAGACATGGACTATTCACCCTTCTCAGCAAGCACCTGGGCCCATCTTAAGGGAGTTTAAGGGTGTCATCTTTGCCTATGTCTGTGCCCACTGGCAAAATTCAAAAGCATAAATGTGGGTGAAGAGTCCTACACTCTAAATGTATTGGTAGGTTTTAGTCACACTAGCTGTGGCTTGAACTTATATTACTTGGATGCAATTTTCACTACTAAAATGCACCTTACTGCGTATATTCTCCAGCAGCCATCGGTGTCACTACCGCCTCATCGCCTACATTCACTAACCACTTCATTACGCACCAGCACTAAGAGGGAGTGATCATCAAACAAGAGACGCCAGGTAGATGGCTCGGAGACCCCGGCACTCATTCTGTGTCTGAGTCCAGGAAGAATGACGGGACTGCTCCTGGCACTGGGTATGCTGGCCAGTCCACGGCAATGTGGGAATTTTTACCTCTATTTTTTGAACAGAAATACTGAGACTGCGCTATGTATTCTGCTTCCCACACACTCTGTTGGCTCTCACCCTTCTGAAGGGACTGTGGCTCGTCTTCACGGCCACAGCAGAGGTGCTCCAGTGGCCGCGGCGCCGGTGCCGTTCTCCATGGTCCTTCCTCCTGGCTTCCCCTTTCCACCCGAGGCTCTGTCCCATCCAGCTGCATATTCATCGACTCCCATCCTGTCCCCAGGGCTGCTGTCTGTTTTGAAAGCATTTTCTCCTGAAATCCCAATTCGTGACCTGAAACAAACCAGTATCAGCTACGCCCATGAACGTGAATGAGGCGATACCCCTGGCGCAGTTCTGGACAGCGTCCCCAGGGGTTAGAGACGAAACCGGGTAAGAGGAGGTCAACACAAAATGAAACTTAATAACTTGATGTTTCCCAGTTAACTGAGCCTCAGTCATGCTTCTTGGAGGAAGTAAGAAACTGGCAGGTGCTACACAGCAATGTCACTGCTTACTGGGGGACCTCATGGTATCAACAGAATATCCCTGAGGGCTAGAAGAACACCGTATAAAAAAAGAACAATCTGGGAAATTCCTAAGCTATCTACTTTATCTCAACCATTAAAAGTAAAGGTGCATAAGCAATCTGGAAACATGGAGGAAGGAACGCACACAGACCTACAGTCAACGAAGATGGATGTAATCACACATAAGGTTTTCTGCCAGAAATTACACCCTTGTTATGGTTTGTGTCCAGATGTTTCCCCAAAGCCTCATGCAGGCTTAGGGGGCTGAATCTAGAGCGTGGGATGCTGGGATGAGGCCTGGGTGATTACTAAGTCAGCCCACTGACTGGTTTGGCCCCGCCGAGTCCCAGTAGTCTAGATACAACATATCAGGGGCAGAGTCTTGTCTCGCCCCGCTTGTTGCTTTGCTCCTTTCTGCCTGCCGTGACTGTTCTCTGCCAAGCCACCCTAGCTTGGAGCCGGCTGATTAGAGACTGAAACCTCTACAAACTGTGAACTAAATAAACCTTTCCCCCTCTAACCTTGAGGGTTGGGTGTTTGGTCTCAGCAATGAGAGAAAAGTAAGACAACCCCCATCAGTAAGTTCAGAATGACACGATTCCCCAGGCGGAAGTCCCAGCCAAGGGTACATGTGCACCGTGAGCACACACCTCCTCATGAAGCTGAACCAAATGGTGTCTCACGCAGGATAAGCTTCAACAAACAGACGCACATCCGCCACTCTCATGTAGGAAATATGGTAGACCAACAGCTTGGAAAGCAAGTGTAAGGCTCTGACGAAATCCTAAGAAATAAGGGAAATTGTTGGTCAGTGAGAAGCGGGTGAACTGAGAAAAGTAAAAAATAATGGAACAAATTTGGATTGGGGCTGCTAATATGAACCTAAGGTGAAATGACAGCCCTGTGATTTGAAATACAAGAATGAACCTGTTTGGCAAGCACTAGTCCTAGCTCAGTAGAAAAACATATCCAATTTTAGGCAAGGGTATAGAGAAGCCAGTGTGTGTTCATCAGAAGAAATTAAGGTTAAGAAAGGGATAGGCCAGGTATGGTAGTACACACCTATAATCCCAGAATCCTGGGAGGCTGAGGCAGGAAGATTGCAAGTTTAAACCCAAATTGGGCAATTAAGTGATTTAGCAAGACCCTGTTTCAAAAATAAATAACTAAATAAATAGGGCTGGGAATCTAGCTCAGTGCAGAGGCCCTGGGTTCAATCCCCAGCAACAAAATAAAAGGTGGATGAAAGGAAACACCAGTGAGTAAAAAGAGGTGTTCTCCATCTCTGCATAGATTAAGGGGTGGGTCTTGATTGTAAGAGAACAGATTGAGGTTAGATTTTTAAAATTGCGAATAATACTGCATTGAACAAGACCAGGATGTGCGTCCTCCTTTGCTTCACACATCTTAAGAACAGGGTAAATCCCAGCCAAGAAAGAGTCAATCGCAAGACTGTGCAGAATCCCTTTCTGCTCTGTGATTCTAATTCACCACCCAAGTAGTAAGAGCTGGTAAAAAGGTTCCAAGAACTGGCAAGAACCTTGATAGAAACCCTGGTTCACACACTCCCATTCAGTAACATTTTCAAGAACCCAGAAGACAGGACAGGCAGTGACAGATGTCAGCGTGGTCATTTTCTTGCCTATGTTTCTTCAGTAACAGAGGTGAGTGGGAGCCCTAAGCCCACTGTACAGGAAGGACAAATCCCCCCTTTCACCTTAGAGGTCCAGAGTTGGCTCGGGGCCTCCTGGGAGCATCCTGATTTCCAGCTAAGGTTTCTTTTTGGAGATTTCTCATGAGAAAGGAAATTTCTCAATAAAGCAATAAAAGGAAACTTCCCCGTGAGGCGCGTGTGCTGAATTCCAGTTCCTGCATTCCCGTCACTTTTACACCTGAGACGCCAACTTCCTAAGTCTTCCTTTTTCTCTAGCCCCTTGGAAAGTCCTCTCCCAAGGCTTTGCTTCCGGCTAAATGTTTGGGCACCTGTCAAAGCCCGCTTCTCCGTCCCCTCGGAGGATCCCCTGCGGGAGTTTCCTTTCCGCCGCGCCCCCGGGGCCAGCTGCGTCTCCCGAGCCCGGCAGGAGCCTGGGGAGGTGCGGGCACGTCTCCGCAAGGCGCGGGGCGGGGACGGCACGTCTCGGCGGAACCCCGACGTGAGGGAGCGGCCCGACCTGCCCGCCCGCTCCGGGCTCCCACGCCTCCCGAGCGCGGCCCGGGCTCCGGCTCCCTGCTGTCCTCACATGTCCGGCCGGCGAGGCATCCGCAGGGCGTTCTTGCCGCTGGAGCTTCCGCTCAGCACCGGGGCCGGTGCTCCAGGGCGGGTGGCGGGGCGGGCGCTGTC